TTTTCAGTTTATCCAACATTGCTTGGTATCTAAGTAAAGAAAACACGAAGCAAACCGTTGTGATTATTTGTTATTCATTCATTTGTTATCATGTTGCGAATGGATGCTACAAGCCTTACGGCAACGTAGAATTGTAGCATTTCCCAGAGACAAAATTGTTTGTAGGAGTGATGGATTTTTATAGGATTTCATACTGTTTTTATTTGATAAATTAATGAGTGACTTTGTGCGCATCCTTCGATTGACTGCGCTACACTCTCGTGTTCACCGTCGCGTTGGTTTTTCGCACGTTTTTTCATTCATAACTCGATGCAAAGCATGCCTAAGATATATACTTTTTCTAATCAGGACGCATTCTGACTAAACTTAGTGAATTCTGTGCTTTCTGCACACAAAATATTTGATGACACTGATAAAGGTGATTCGATAAAAACGCATGCAGGCCGGATGGCACACCGCAATGATTTGCACCCCTCCTGCCAAGATGACTGTGGTCAGCACTAATGTTCGTCCGCCATTCGTAAAGATCTCGAATTTACCCTCCACACATTAATTCCAACATATGATTTTTTATTACACACTTTCTTGCGATGAACAGCAAACGGGGTAAACCCCATAGACACGAGGACCTTCTGTTCAGAGATAGAAACCGGTAGCCTAAGCCCAGGGACTTGGATTGGTAAACCACATAAGGCCATGATAAGTTAGGTGTGGTATTGAACTGGAAGGCAGCAGACCTGCCTACCAACAAAGTCGGCTAGCGGTGGTGGGGCTCAAACCTCTGACCACAAGGTCCAAAGAACGCCTATGACAGCAACTAAACCACTGCGCCACCACCACCAAGAAATTTGGTTGAATCGAAACGTTGAAAACGTGCTCGTGCGAATAGATGACTTCGATCGTTATTTGTAAGATAGGCAGAGAAGAAGGGAAAATGGAGGTGGGATGTCGACCTACATCAATGTTTACTAGTATGCAATTCAGAGGTGATATACAACTATTCTGAAAAATGATCTGACTATTTATCCGTTCGTTGTCAACATATTTTTTCCGTTAGAAATGTACGGTCATTGCTAATGTATATCTCTTTCGTGTTATGAGGCAGAATTCCCTACTTTCTTTGATTTTATTATCGCGTTTCTAGTTAGATTATGAGATGAAAATACTCACTTACTTGTTGATGATTTCAACCGTGGAGGCATTTCTCCCCTGCTTCCGTTTGGTCTATCTGACATCTCTCATTCTCCTATCACAGGTAGTTCTGTGCTGGACAGAGTGGTCTGAAACCATCCCAACTTATCCCAACTTACTGGCCCTAGTTTCTACCAGTAGCCAGTAGTATTCGACCAAAGATATACTCTCGCACTTCCAATCAAACACTCGTGCGTTCTAATCAGATCAAATTCCATCTAGGGGACATTTTACCCAACCGCATCACTCTTCTCAACCGTTCTATTGATCAGAGAGAAACAGAATGTGTTGGAAATGCTGGCTCAGCCTGGTGCAACTCATAGTTTCGTAGCAAAACAACTTGCTATTTCAAGAAAGACTGTTTATACAGTGTTTTATCCCATCGAACGACTGTCGGAGAATTTTTGAATGCTGGAGCACCTCAAGGAAGAAGCCAACTAAAAACCAACGAAAAGTTCAAGACTGTGAACTAGGCAACTTTGACCTAGTTTACTGTTGCGAGGTAAAAGCATGGTGAGTTTCACATGATGGAGAGCATCGTTTGTAAGAAGGTAATCCAGCTAGCACAAATGATGCGTCCTCGTGAATTAAGGCTTCCAAAGCTTGATTCCGCTTTTGATGAGATAGATGTGATATTCAATCGTGCAGATTAAGAGAAATTTGCATTACTTTATAGGTTTGCGGAGAAAGTTTGACGGTACCAAGTGATGTAGTGGACGAGTTTTGAGCGGGTTTGCCGCAGTTCATTCACCGATATACTGAATAGAATATTTTCAATGCAGATGAAATAGCTTTGTATTACAGGCAACTCCCAGAAAACGCACTAATTCTTAAAGAAAAACAGTTTCTTGATCAGATAAATCCAAAAAAGGAGTCACGTTATTGCTTTGTGGGAGCATGGCTGAAGAAAAGGTATCACCGTTGCTCGTTGGAGAATTTCAAACTCCACATTGTCTCCGAGGAATAGATAGAAAAAGCCTTCCCTACATCTCTCACTCTTCAAAGAACACATGGCTGACTTCTGAGTTATTTCATCGTTGACTGTCCGATAGCAACCGCAAGATGGTTTATCAAAAACGCTCTATTTTGCTATTGACCATAAAAAATAGCATCACAAAAAAGAGAATGGAATAAAGGCCTAAACAAGGGAAGGTTTGAAGTAGCCTGGTTTTACAGTCTCAGACTACGACCAAAACCTTTGGAGCAATTTCCTTGTTGAAAATTGCAAACAGCACATTTTTTCGGAACGCGATATTTCGTGTTTAAAACTCATAAGTGAAAGTATTGATATTGTTAAAAATCGGTGACTAGACAAAGATAGTTATTTATTATAAATAACGGTTAGGGTATCGGTAAATTGACATACATACGAGCACAAGTTTTCTGAAATTCCACAAGCACACCGCATAATCGTTAAAACGGTCCGATGGTAGATGCGCATTTCCCGTAGCTACCATTATGAACACGGTAATTTGCTCTAAGAGATCTTGTTCATTTTTCACCTCTGAGAAAAACAGCCAATCACGTTCTTTAACGCAATCCAAACATACTACTCATAATAATAGTAATTCGGTGTGGGTAATTTTGTGAGACGGATATTTTGATAGGTTTGCATTGTATTGTATTGTATTGTAATAACTTCTGCAACCGTGAATCCCACATTTCATGTAGTGAATGTCAAATGTTCTCATATACATATATATAAACCACTGTAAAATAATCTTAATAAAAGGAAAAAGGTCCATGAGTTGCTCGAGTTCCCCATGCTTCTAGGTTGTTCAGGCCAAAGTAGGTTAATTTTCTTGGGCATTTCAGAACCGGAGCCTTCGGCTAGCCAAAGTCTGACTCGCAAGACAGCGGCGCGGTATGCGAAAACCGCAATCCATTGCTGGCCGATGGGCGGTTCATCGAATGATACGCCTTTTGGATAGAATCAAACATCCAAGATGCCCAATATAACTCGATACCAAATTGAGCCGGTGACCACTCGCACAACCAGGAAGATGTACGTGGTTTGTACGCTTCCTGTTGGTTGTTTCGGAATCGGGGTTTGTAGCGAACTCCCCTAGGTGAACTGCCAGTGGTTCACCGACCCCGTTCTAGCACCGGTTATTGGCTTTTCGTCTTCTCACATTAATGGCAAAACACCACCACGAGAAGACAAAGATAGATATTCGAAGAAAACGTGTTGCATAAAGTCACAGATCTCGCAAAACTGTATGAGTATTTCATTAAGGGAAGTGCCAGTAATGGGACTGATTATTAGAAGACCATGACGTTAAGCCGTGAAATTCTCTCTCTCTCTCTCTCTGATCAGCCCACGAATAAATTGTAAGGGGACAATTAGTCACTTATCATTTTTACTTTCCTTTTATTGAATCCACTATGATACACTTTTCAGGAAGTGAAAAGTCGCCAATTAAAGGACTGCCACGCAACACACAACTGGGGAAAGTTAGGCGGTGCTGGTGGGATTCGAACACTTGTCGTCCGGGGTGATAATCTGGTG